GGGGGCCCCCGGGGGGGCCCCCGGGGGGGCCCCCGGGGGGGCCCCCGGGGGGGCCCCCGGGGGGCCCCCGGGGGCCCCCGGGGGCCCCCCTGGAGCCGATTTGCTGCAGCAGTTTTGGCTGGGGAGATTTGAACTTGAAAGTGACAGCTTCTTCTTCCCACAGTTCTCGAGAGACGCAGCAGTTCCTCGCCAGGCTGCAGCAGCCGCAGCTGCAGCAGGCCGGGTGCGCCCGCTGCTGCTGCTGCTGCTGCTGCTGCTGCTGCTGCTGCTGCAATGCTGCTGCTGCAGTACTCCTGCTGCAGTACTCCTGCTGCTGCCGCTGCTGCTGCTGCTGCTGCTGCAGTACTGCTGCTGCTGCTGCTGCTGCAGTACTGCTGCCGCTGCTGCTGCTGCTGCTGCAGTGCTGCTGCTGCTGCTGCTGCTGCTGCTGCTGCTGCTGCAGGTCGGCTTTGAAGTTCATGGCGGTGGCCTGCGGCGCAGCAGCTCTTTACCCCCGCTTTGCCCCCTGCAGCGAGTGGGACAGCTGCGCAGCGCATGCAATTTTAGCTGCCAGCGGCGGCGAAGTTTGCTGCTGGGAAGACGCAGCAAAGGGGGGCCCCCGGGGGCCCCTCAGGTACAACAAAAGGAGTTTGCTGAACCCTTTTTTCGTGGCCCGCGGCCGCCTCCGCCCCGGGGAGGCCCCCGCGCCTCCCCCGCTGCAGCTGCAGCAAGCTGCAGCAGCAAGCTGCAGCAGCAGCAGCAGCAGCAAACTCCACACTGCACAGCAGCAGCAGCAGCAGCTCTCCAGTCCCCAAAATAACTGATCTGCAGCTACAAATAATATGCCGCCCCGGGGGCCCCTTGGGGCCCCAAGGGGCCCCAAGGGGCCCCGGGGGGCCTCGGGGGGCCCCGGGGGGCCCCCAGGGTGTACAGAGAGCTGCTGCTGCTGCTGCTGCGGCAGCGGCTGGGGGCGGTTGCTGCTGCTGCAGCAGCAAAAGGAATTTATCTGCTGTTGTCTTCTTGAAATGCTGCGCTTGGGCTTCTATTTGCATTTATTTATTTATTTTCAGTTGTGGTTGTTTTTGTTTATTCATTTCAACTTGTTTTTGCTTCCGCTCCGGGGTGTCACTGCAGCTAAGCTCTCCTTGGGCTGGTGCCGGAGGCTGTTGTGGACAAAAAGCAGCAAAAATGGGAATATTTGTTGCAATTATAATGCAAAATATTAAATATTAGTAATTAATTCAATTATAATCTCAAATTAAAATTAAAATGAAACAAAACGAGCGCTTCGACGCCCGCTGCAGGCTCTCTGGGGTGTACAGACACCAGAGAGCAGGTCCGGCGGCGACTGCGGACTTGGGGAAAACAGATAAATAAATTTCATTTTTAGAAGAATTAAAAGAATTAAAAGAATTAAAAAACAATTAGAAGTGTTTTAGACTTTCTAAATGAATAAAAGGCCCGTGCAAAGTAGGAGGTGGCCAGACACTCGAGGTTCCGTTTTCTTTTGCAAACCCTAAACCCTAGAGTGAGGGTTCGCTTTTTCTCGGCCTGAATTGCGAAAAGTGTTCCATCCATTTATTATTTTCTGCTTTTTAAATTAAATTATTTATTTTAATTTAAATAATTTATTAATTTCCCCGGAAATTCGGTCGCTTTCCGCGAAACGAGCTCACTCTCCAGCCCCGGCAGTCGGCTGCATGCGCCGGGGGCTTCTTGTGTAGCTACAGCCGAATTGAATTGAAATCATTCTTTTTAAATAAATAATAAATGAATATTTTCAAAAATATTCATTTATTATTTATTTACAAAAACAAATGGCCGAAGATTTCAAACCAAAGCCAGGCTCGCCGCTTCTGCGGTGTATGTACACCTCAAGTGAGCACATGAACTCCCAACTGATCCCTCAAATTTTTTGTCATTTCTTTTTCTTCTTCTCCTCGCCTTGAAATGAATGCCTTTTTAGGCCCCCAGCCCTCCAGCAGCAGCAGCAGCAGCAGCAGCAGCAGCGCAGCAGCAGCAGCAGCAGCAGCAGAGCCCAAGTGCCTCGAACTGAACCAGCTCTGCGAGCCGCGGGGCCCCCCGGGGGCCCCCGGGGGCCCCACAGATGCAGCAGCAGCTCCCGGGGTATTCCCGCAGCTGCTGCTGCAGCTCGAGGGCCGATTTCGCGCTGCTGCAGCAGCAGCAGCAAACACTTTGGGTGTATGTACACTCCCCGCCATCTTCCTGGGCGGAACTCTCTTCAGCGTTGCTGCTGCAGCTCTTTCCTATCGAGCCCGCATGCGAGTCCTCAGCAAGGGGGGCCCCGCCCCCGCTGAGCAGCATAAAGCCTGAGCTGCTGCAGCTGCAGCTTCCTTCCAAATCTGCTGCTGCTGTCATAGCAGCAGAGCTGTCTAGACACCGCAGAAGCAAAGTGTGGGGTGAAGACGACGAAGAAGAGGGGGCCCCCCTAGGGGCCCCGCAGCAGCAGCAGCAGCAGCAGCAGCAGCAGCAGCAGCAGCCTGCGTCTGCTGCTGAGTTGTTTACTGCTAGAGAGCTTGCTGCTCTCTTTCTGCTGCCTGCTGCTGCTGTTGCTTCGGTGTTTTCAGTTGCTTGGATTTACCTCAAGACCCAATGCGGCGTAGCCAATGTAAGTGCTGCTGCTGCTGCTGCTGCTGCTGCTGCTGCTGCTGTTGCTGCTGCTGCTGTCGCTGCTGCTGTTGCTGTCGTTGCTGCTGCTGTCCTTCCTGCTGTTGCAGCAGCTGCTGCTGTTGGTGCTGCTTTTGCCGCTGCTCTCGCGGCTGCTGCTTGCTTCTGCTGCTGCTGCTGCTGCTGCTGCTGCTGCTGCTGCTTCGTTTAGGCAGCCCCACAAGGCTGCCGTCTTGCTGCTGCAGCTCTGGGCCCACAGCGGAAGCAAATTAAAACTAAAAAATATAAATAAATAATTAAAATAAACCAAATTAAATAATTAAATAATTAAAACAAATAATTAAAATAAACCAAATAAAAGAAATAATTAAAATAAATAATTAAAACAAATAATTAAAATAAACATTAAGACAAATAATTAAAATAAATAATTAAAATAAATAATTAAAACAAATAATTAAAATAAATAATTAAGATAAATAATTAAAATAAATAATTAAAACAAATAATTAAAATAAATAATTAAAATAAATAATTAAAATAATTAAAATAAATTAAAATCCAATTTGCTGTTTGTCTGCAGCTGCAGCACTTCGTGGAAACCACAAAATGGCTCACTGGAAATGGACCGCCCCCGCAGCACCCCAAAACCCTAAACCCTAAACCCTAAACCCTAAACCCTAAACCCTCGCTTTAGAGCTGCTGCTGCTGCTGCTGCTGCTGCTGCTGCTGCTGGAGCTTGCTATGAAGGGGCGCCTCAGTTGAGGTGTACGTACAGCGCGGCTGAACAACTATTTAAATTTTTAAAATGAATTTTTAATTAAAGAAATTATTTCAATTAAAAATTTATTTTAATTAAAATAAATTTTTTATTTATTTACTTTTTACCTTCTTGTCGACTCTTAGCCACCTGCTGACTTTGAAGCCAGCTGTACATACACCCCGCTGCCGCAGCAGCAGCAGCAGCGCAGCAGCAGCAGCGCAGCAGCAGCAGCAGCGCAGCAGCAGCAGCGCGAAGCAAGAAAAGAAGAAGGCAGAAGCTGCCAGTAGAAAGCAGAAAGAAATAAAATGAATTTCAATTTCCACTAAAACTCCAAAGGCTTCCGCCCTGAGGTGTACGTACACCCCGCGCCCAGCTAGCCAGCAGCTAGCCACTAGCTAGCCAGCAGCTAGCCACTAGCTAGCCAGCAGCAGCTAGCCACTAACTAGCCAGCAGCTAGCCACCAGCTAGCCAGCAGCTAGCCAACAGCTCGTGGGGGCTTGTCAGCTAGCTAGCCAGCCGTCTAACTGACAGCTGGGTGGCGAGGGGCGAACCAGTAGCTAGCTAGCTGTTGGCTAGCAGCTAGCTAGCCAGCTAGCTAGCTAGCTAGTGGCTAGCTAGCCAGCCAGTGGCTAGCTAGATTGCTGGACAGCTAGCTAGGCAGTGGCCAGCTAGCCAGCTAGTAGCTAGCTAGTAACCTGCTGGTAGCTAGCTGGCAGCTAGCCGGTAGCTAGCTGGAAGCTAGCTAGTAGCTAGCTGATAGCTAGCTAGCTGGTAGCTAGCTAGCTGGTAGCTAGCTAGCTGGTAGCTAGCTAGCTGGTGGCAAGCTACGTATAATATGTGGGCAGGCAGCTGTTACGCCTTGGACTCTTCGGCAGCAGCTGTGCTGCTCGCTGCTGCTGCTTCTGCTGCTGCTGCTGCTGCTGCTGCTGCTGCTGGCTCCTTGGCTTCTGCCTGGGCCTTGCTGTCGCCGCCGCTCTGCCCCTCGGCCTGCTGCTGCTGCTGCTGCTGCTGCTGCTGCTGCTGCTGCTGCTGCTGCTGCTGCCCGTCTTGCGGCTCGTTCGCGTTCTTCTCGTCCGTGGCAGCAGCCGCTGCTGCTGCTGCTGCTGCTGCTGCTGCTGCTGCCTTGCGCTTCTGCTGCTGCTGCTGCGCAGCGTCGAAAGCAGCAGCAGCAGCTTCGTACCGCTGCTCCAAAAAGGCAGCAAAAGCTTCCGGCTCTACCGGCGGGTTTTTCGAAAGTTCCGAAATGCACTTCGACACAGAAAAGTCCTGAACACAGCACACACACTCCTCAATGGCTAGCTAGCTAGCTAGCTGGCTAGCTGGCTAGCTGGCTAGCTAGCTAGCTAGCTAGCTAGCTGGCTAGCCGGATGGCTAGCTATGTAGCTGGCTAGCTAGCTAGCTGGCTAGCTAGCTGTTTAGCTAGCTGGCCAGGTGGCTGCTTGGTTAGCTAGCTAGCTGTTTAGCTAGCTAGTGGCTAGCTAGCTAGTGGTTAGCTAGCTAGTGCTTAGCTAGCTGGCTGGCTAGCCAGCTACACGCCACAGCGCGTGCCACCGCGTCCCTCCCCGCTGCTGTCGCTGCCACTGCTGCTGCTGCTGCTGCTGCTGCTGCTGCTGCTGCTGACCTCTGCATCTTCCTCATTTGTCTCTTTGTGTCTCCTGACAACAAAGAAGCACTTCGTGCCGCTGCCCTCATTCCCGGGGGCCCCCTGGGGGCCCCCCTGACCCTTCTCGCCCTCAGTACCCCCTTGGGGGCCCCCCTGGGGGCCCCCCTGCCCCTCAGTACCCTCCTGGGGGCCCCCGTTCGCCTGGGGGCCCCCGCTCGCCTCGTTCTCCCCCTGGGCCCCCCCCTGGGGGCCCCCCTGGGGGCCCCCCTGGGGGCCCCCCTGGGGCCCCCCCTGGGGGCCCCCCTGGGGGCCCCCCTGGGGGCCCCCCTGGGGGGCCCCCTTGTGGTGGAAGTCGACCTTAATGGCGACGGGGGCCCTGTGGGGGCCCCCCAGTTTGTGGGTTTTGTTGGGGTGGTAATTGAGGAGTTGGAAGACAGCGTTTTCAGCAGCAGATTTGGACTTGAGGAAATTTCCAGAAGAAGTTTTTTGAATTAACTCTTGCATGCATTTGGCTAAGTGCCCCACGCTGCTGAAGCGGAGGCCCCCCAGCTGCAGCGGCAGCAGCAGCAGCTGCCGCCGGTACTGCTGCAGCTCCTTCTCGCGGCTCGCCCGCACCCGCGGCGGCAGCTGCAGCAGCAGCAGCAGCAGCAGCAGCAGCAGCAGCAGCAGCAGCAGCAGCAGCGGCGGCGGCGGCGGTGGGGCAGCAGCACGGGTGTAATGGGCACGACTGTGCAGAAGCTACAAGGTGGCTGCAGCTGCGGTGCGAGGTGGCTAGCTAGCTAGCTGGCTAGCTAGCTGACTAGCTAGCTAGCTAGCTAGCCAGGGAGGTGCCCCACACCCCTCTCCCTCCCCCAGCTCCCCGCTGTCTGCTTATTTAAGTGCAACCTTATTGACACTTAACCCAGCTAGCTAGCTAGCTAGCTAGCTAGCTGGCTGGCCTGCTAACCAGCTAGCTACCTAGCTAGCCAGCAAGCTCTCCAGCCAACCACCCAGCTAGCTAGCCAGCCAACTAGCTAGCCACCCGCCTCCC